CCATTTCATCAGAAAATTATGGCTCGCTGACCCGTTGGGTATATGAGGCCGACCCAAAATCAAGATGAGAAAATCCATGAATTTAGTTAGCACAATCTGAAGACCGGGAAGGCCACGGCGAGCTGGACAAGTTGAAAAGGAAGATGAAAGCGACCAGGATGACGGGCTCGACGGCGACCGAGACGACGAACGAGAGGCACGAGCGGGACGAACGCCGGCGGCAGCAGAGATGCTTGGGGGTGCCGTTTGAACAAGCCGCTGGTTGTTTCTACGTGCATGTACTAGTTCACGTAAAAATCAATCCACCTGCCTGCTTGTGTACAGGGGCGTCTCCAACAATCGATCCAGTTTGCTCAGCTTCTTACGTACGTGTCTTCTGGTTAAGTAATCCATCTGCACGTGAGCACATCATCGATTTCTTCAGAAAGTACACGACGAGTCGAGGGGGTGGCCAGCGGCAGCAGAGATGGTCGGGGGACTGGGTCGACCCATCTAACCCATCGGGCCGCACAGGTCCGACTCCACTAACCCATATATCAATTGAGGCCAACCCACTTGACCCATTAGCCTTGAATTTTTGGGCCGGGTCAGTGACCCAGCGGGTCGACCCGGCCCGTTCCCATCCTGACTGCTCGCGTCCGTCGCGGACAGCTCCTGCGTTGCTTGCGAGAAGCCGGCGAAGGTCAGCGAGGAGGAGCGGACGGTGTCTTGCCCGCTGTCCACTTTTTGCCTCTCTAGCACCCTGCAGAGCACCAAGTCCTCTTGCATAATTGAAGTGCCGTGCCATGCATCCAGATTCAGGGCCGGCCCTGGGGCATGGGCGACGGGGCGACGGCCCAGGGCCCTGGCGAGGGGGTCCCATGATGGAGTATATACATATACTATAGCCCAGCAAAAAGCAAAAAAAAATACAAAAGAATTAAAGAAAAGAAATAGGATGGGCTAGGAGGCCCAGATATAGCTAGCTAGCTAGTGATCGCTGGATACGCGAAGGCCAAGCGGCGCCGTGACTCATGCTGGTTTCTACGTTTCCTCGTCGCCCTCGCACGCCCGTCGGCCTTCTCGCTCGGCGCTCGGCGCCTTGCCCCTTGGCCCTTGCCGCGTCGCCGTCGCCTCGCCGGCTCGCCATCGCCGCCACACAGCAGTCCGGCAGGCAGGCGGCAGCCCGGCCATCCGGCATCCGGCACCGCGGCAATACGGCAATATCTATACGAGTACGCATCTGACTGAAAGTCAACAAATACGCATCCATGTTTCCTGTCCATCCCCAAACTTGAATTTGACAATCTCACTATCTCAGTAGTTTATTTATTTTTTATTTAGTATGTACGTATTCTAATCCAATCTATCAATTTTTTGTCATTCTATATAACATGTCTAGGGTTTCAATCATCCGATCTATAAATTCCTAATTCTTTGTATGCTCTTTTGATCTTTTCTTCATGATTTTAGGACATTAGCCTGTCATGTTACCTAAGAAGAAGCAATTGCCGGGTGCTGAAAAAAGGAGGAAAAAGAAAGAAAGTGATCTGAAAATTCTAGCACTGAAGGATATCTTGGACAATGTTGCTCTTGATTGTGCCCTTAATGACTTCGCATCAAGAAATGCCCGAAGAAACTTTTTTTGAAGCACTGAAGTATTATTGTTGTCGATGGAGTCAGTCTAATTTCGTTCTTATTTGAGGTAATCATGTCATGTTAGTTTCATTTTGCGATCTTTTTAGTACCATTGTTTTTTATGGAGTCGGTTTAAATTTGGTTATTATTGTTCTCGATGGAGTCATTTGAATTATTATAGTCATATTTTAAACTAAAGATGTGTGATTGAAAATTACTTTTAATAAGTTATATATATAACATACGCATACATATATATTGTCTTAGGACTTAGGACATAGGGGCCCATGTCGTCGAGTTCGCGTAGGGCCTCCCGAAACACAGGGCCGGCCCTGTCCAGATTAGAAACGTCGATCGGTGCAATTGCAAAGAGGAGCTAACCTAAGATCAAGAAAAGAGGAGCTAACCTGGCCGTGAGCTTCGCCACATCTACGCGCACACAAAGCATGATTAGCAGTGTCAGTCAGTGAAAATACATACAGTATATACCGCGCACACATGCATGCATAAGCTAGCCTTCAGATCAGGCCTCATAACGTAAGTAGCCTTTAGCGCATATTCACACACGCCCATCCATCCCAGCCATTTTCACTGCCACCTTCTAGTTCCCCGTTTGGATAGGCATATAAGGTTGAAAATGCCCGGGATTGGAAAGAACAGGGTACAAACTTCAGGGATTTAGAGGTGAGGGTTTATTTGCATCGAGCTCTACAAGTACAAGGTTTATTTTAGACTTCACTCGCCCACGTGCCATCAAGCAAAGGGACGGGAGTGGCCGAACCGCAACTAAAATAAACCTAAGAACCCATGCCTGGCGAACTCGCGTATTCTAGGAGAAACCACTAGACTATGCCAAGTCCCCACTGAGATGTGTCCAACAACTCCAAGAGTAAAAAGTTTGGTATAACAAAAGTTGGTGGACCGCGGTTTGGTTTGGTGGAAGTGTGTATCTACTATTCCTCTTTGTATTCTCAAAATTTGGAGATATTTGGTTGGTGGAGTCAAAGTGAAGTGAACTTTTTCAAGATGAGCGGTGGGGCAACTAAAGATTTAGTGGATAGGGTCGGAGGTACAAGCATGGGTCTTATATAGCCCCCCTCAAAATCCAACCATTAACTCCTTAGTTGGTAAATCCCCCAAAACTAAGAGGTGTAGACCCTGAAGCTCTAGCGTGTCCAGTAACGAAACCACACATGTTCGTGCTCTCGAAGCCCAAACCTTCTGGCTGTTCAGTGCCGAAACCACCCAATTTATAAAAAAACATCAACAACTAAGTTTAACAAAAGGGGTGACATCCGCCCCCTAGTACCGAACCCCTCTTGGTAATAAAGAAACCTCCTTCATAATCATTCACCTTGACTCGGTTTAACATATAGGCTCTCTTCATAATCATAGCCACCCGATTCAGTCTATCCATCTAGACTCAAAGACACTACGACCAAGAATTTCCACAACAAAATCTAGATCACCTTATTGTAAGCCTTCTCATGATCTACATTGTGAACCAAACGAATAGTTTTGTAGGCAATATGACTTCCCGTCAAGTGTATATTGAGTAAATGCACATTGGCCCCATATGATTATGCTTGTATTTCTATATCATTTTAGTTTTTCCCTCAATTGCTATCTTGGTTAGTATTTGAGTGTTTTTCTTCCTCTCATTTCTGTCATCTAACAAAGAACATGATCAAGTGTAATGCAATGTCATTTTCTCAATTGGCAAAGCTAAGGAGACTAGCATCTGTAAGCAAGCAGATGTAAAATTCACAACAATCTACAACAATACCCAGAACACACCTGTCTTTCAATTTCTCTCTCAGTTTATAGCACACACAAACACATCATCTCCCAGCCTCTCTCGAGCAAGGCGGTCCTCGTGCGGGCAACAGGAGCAGGCCAAGGCTAGCGACCACCACTCGTAGCTACCACTTCGTCCTCGCCACTAAGGATGAGAATGGGCTAACCCACTTTGTCTTGAACCTGGTACTCGCTGGCCCCTTTGCTTTGTTTAGAGACATGGAGTTGACCTAATGGTCAAGTGATGATTGGCCTCATGTCTAGAGGCGGA